TTCACACATATGTAACACACAAACTCTATATTTAATTCCTTTCTCAATCAGAAAACCCTCAACACTCAAACATGTGGTAATACACCTTCACTAGAATCATTTGCTTAAAGGTAAATATTCCATCCAGTCCTTGTATCTGCAGAAGTCTCTGGTGCTAGACTAGTGCATGTCAATGGCCATAGTTATCCTGCCACTAAAAACTGTTTTACCCACTCCACAAAACACCCGAAGCAAATCTGTTATTACTCCACTGTTGATGTAAATGTCTGTGTCAGAGGTGGTGACTTGCAAGTCGTGACTTGGACTCGAGTCAGACATAAGTCACTATTTTTAGGACTTGAGACTTGACTTGATAAAATGGACTAAGACTTCGACTCGAAGGTCAGTAACTTGGGACTTGACTCGGACTTGAGGCCTGAAGCACTTTTAAACCTGAATTCTTTCTATTCTGACTATAATGATTCACACTAAGATCTTGTCAAAACATTTAAAAAGGAAAAGTTTATTTCTTCAACTCTTATATACTCTATAAATACTCACTTTAAATATATTATGATTTTTTAAGTACAATTTATCTTAAAAGTCATACAATTGCAAAAATGTAAGCTATATTTGGTACTTTGGTTTAAAGACTTCAAATTACTTGAAACTCAAAGCAGACGACTTGGACTTGACTTGGACTTATGGGCCAGTGACTCGAGACTCGACTTGGACTTGCCTGTATTTGACTTGAGACCTGGCTCGGACTTGCAGTCAAAGACTTGAGACTTACTTGAGACTTGCGAAACAATGACTTGGTCCCACCTCTGGTCTGTGTTGGTAGAATAATGTTTGAAATAAAACTAAACTTGTATCACATGTATCGTCGCATGTTGAGGGACTATTTTCTCAGCAGCAGCGGAATTTTACTTTGCCAGTAAGATAGGTGCTAGGGGATATCAGTCCGCCACTGCCAAACTTTCTATCAGGAAGTACAACTCACTGCTGCTGCTCAGACATAAATCCTTCAAATGCAAGATTGGTTTCACTTCAACACAGACATTTACATCAACAGTGGTGTAATAATAGATTTGCTTCGGGTGCTTTGTGGAGTGGGTAAGACTATTTTTAGTGGCAGGATAACTATAGCCATTGACATGCACTAGCTTAGCACTGGACTGGACACAGGACTGGATGGAATATTTAAAAAGTGTCTCCACACGTCTCCAACACTCTGAATAATTAGAAAATGAGGTCCTATGTCCAGAATTCCAGACTGTTCCTTTAATTTCAGACCTGGAATTGACAATCTCTACTGAAGTAAAGATAAAAGGTAGCTGTTAACTTGAAAACTACCACTTCATGACATCACAAGGTGGAACAGAGCATTTTGAAGTTTGGAGATGTAGACAGACTAATAATACAGGAATAGAAGATGTTGTGAATGAAACAAAACACAGCTCCAGGTCTGTTTTTGAAGAGGTAGCAGCATTATAACATGGCTTAAAGTTCAAAAGAGTAAATTTTGAGTAATATAGGACCTCTAATAGTGACTGAAATTGCTCCCATTCAAATCCTTTATTGGTGCAACTTGGGTGGAAATATTTCTACCGTTAATATATTGTTCAGGGTCAAGTATGAAGCTATAGTGATGATTTTGTGATGCAATTCTAAGGTAAAAAATGTCCAATGCATGAAAACTTATTCTTTTTCCAACTCGGCTGCCCAAGTTTGAGACTCCACCCTTGACTTTTCTGTGACCTGTAGAGATTGTACGATTTAAAATGAATGCTCCAAAAGGAGGTGTGGTGGTGCACGGTGGTTAGCAATTATGTTAAGAAAGTCATGTGACGTTTGACCCCTTGGTGACCTTTACATGTGGAGTCTTTGTGTAGTATGGGCACCACCATTTAAATACACAACTTGAGGTGGGTGGTATTTAGCGACAATTTCTGAACTGCATTTAGTAACTTTTTACTTTTAAGACTAGGGCTGAGTTTCATTAAGAAGTTGCCAATACATATCTCGATACATAGACCACGATACAATACGTACCTCGAGACGATATATTTTAAATTGATTCAGTATGGTTCAATAAAAAATAAAGGCTAAATGATGACTGTGATAATAAAAGTCTTTGTTAAACCACTTCTTGTGCAAAGTTAATATGAAACACAGACATTTTAATAATCAAAACAGTGAAAATATGAATGTGTGCATAAACGAGTTTGAGTCCTCCAAACAAGCAACAAAACTGTAGCGCAGTAACAAAATAATTTTGTTAAATATACCAAAAATACTCTTATCGATATATCGATACAGCAGCCCACAATATATCGATACTGTATCATCACATTAAACGATACGATATATTGGTATTTCGATATTTTTGCACACCCCTATTTAAAACACCATATTAATCCTACTTTTTAAGTAAGTCTACAAGTGCCACATGCTTTATATTAACAATATGAAATAAAATGAACATTTGTGTTTTTTGCATCGTTCCAAGGTCTCTTAATTGATTCAGTTTACTCCACTTTCCACTACTAGATGGAGTAGAGAGCTAATTTGGTTTTGAATCTTTTTTGGCAATAGACCAAATTATATCAAGTAACAGTTATTTTAATTACAACACTCCAATCTGTGCATACGATAACTGCAACAAAAACAAAACCGTCTGGGTTAGACTCACAGTTATTTTTTCCCCTCTCCTGATGCACCGTGACTGCATTTCTACAGTCTGGGAATCATCTGTCTGGGATACGTCATGTTTTTCCACAAAGCACTTCTCACAAGACTTCCAAGGTTAGCATACCTGTCCCGCTAAATTTAACCTAACCCTAATCCTAAACTGTCCTTAACCCGATAATGTAACAACATACAGACAAAAACAAACATTACCGAGCAGAGCCAACAATGCAAAGTGACTATAGTGTGGCAGAAAGAAGAAAGACGTTGTTTTCCCATGATTCTTTCCGAACAATGTACCAGAAAACGGTGTTGGGAACAGCATTTATGTCTATGGAGGAATGTTCAGCAGTTACTATAGTGACACAATGCACATCAATAGCAAACACAGCATGAAGTTTATAGATAGTTAGAAAACTCAAGAAAAAAATTACAAAACGTATTTAAACAACACATTTTGAGAGGCCCGTGATTAGGAGTATGCAAAAATATTGAAATATCGATATATATCTTATCGTTTAATGTGATAACACAGTATCAATATCGTGGGCTGCTGTATCGATATATCGCTAAGAATATTTTTTGGTATATTTTACTCAATTATTTTGTTACAGTGCTACAGTTTTGTGGCTTGTTTAGAGAAAGGAAACTTGTTTATGAAACACATTTGACAGTTTCACAGGTTATTTTTTGGTTATTAAAATGGGCGTCTTGCATATTCACTTTGCACATGAAATAGTTTTAAAAAGACTTTTAGTATCACAACCATGATTCAGCCATTATTTTTTATTGACACGTATTGAATAATTTTGAAATATACCGAATTGAAAGTGCACTGTGTGTTCTGTATTGTGGCCTATGTATCGAGGTATGTATCTTATCGGCAACTTCTTAATGATAATCAGCCGTACCTGTGATCTATATAAGCATCCATGGTCCTGTTTAGGCATTTGATTTTCAACAAAAAGGTGAACATGACTAACTTATAATAACTGCTGCTAATGTTTTTGTCTTTAATGTTATGCTGGAGGCACTTTATTTGCCTTATTCATCAGCCAGTTTCACTTCATGGAAACCGTCTGATCTCACTGCATTAGGATTTGTTCGCTTGACAGTAGACAAGTACTTTTTCATTTAACCAATCACTGCTATTTGGTTGTGACGTATGTAAAGTGCCACTAATGGAGTAACTGGTATATTAAGCTTTTCCCAAATCCCATAGGAAGAAGGGCAATAACGTTTTTCCATTTGATAAACTTCACCAAACATTCTCTTTGTTCCGGCTTTAAATCCTCGATCTTGGGAATCATTGCCAACACAGAATGTATGGCTCTTCGCTGATCGGCTGGTGCCCGAACTCGCACTTCTGGGGTTCTTGCAAACGATTCCTGATCTAGTCGCTGCGAAGAAATGAAATTGAGCGGAGGCACTAGGTTGCACCATGCTGCCTAGCACTTTATGGCCTGATTGTGTTAAAACAACTCTCAGAATAAAGAATAACTTCAGTAACAGAGGTTCAAACAGAGCAGTGCCTCTAGTTAACTTCACCCCCACAGAGAATGGTCAGTGGTATTACTATCAATACTGTCAATATCAGTACTAGTTGTTCCCAACCCCAGGGCTATGTTAAGTTTTTCAGTCTCATTTGTTTCTCAAGTTACTTCATTTACAATACTTTGCATAATATAATGGCCATTTCTGTTACCAAAGTTAAAATCAAAAATACATCCCCTTTAATCCTAATCGTATTTCATTCCCAGGACATCAGCCTGACTTCTCCCGCTAGCTCACCTCCGCTCTCTCCTCCTCTCATGTTGTTCCCAGCATGACTTTTTTTTTTACAGTCCATTGTTTTCAAAGCTGCCCTTATTTTCTTTCAAAACAAACTCGCCAGTGGACAGAGACCCACATCCTTTTGCATGTTTTGTTAAATATATCCCTCTATGTGGCTTCCCTCGTTCATCCTTCCTTCCTCGTAGCTCTCGTTCATTTGTGAGATTAACAGCGGCGCTTTGAAGTTGATTTATAATTAAAAAGACATGTTGAAAGCATTGAGAGAGGAGAAGTGGAAGGTGCCTGCTATACTTAGACAAGCTATTATGCTGTCTCCAGGAAGTTTGCGCTTAACCTCTTCGCTCGAAATCAACTGAGACAAAGCCATAAAAGCAATGACAAAGTGCACAGCAAAATGTTAAAAAGGACGCGAGAGGACAACATGTTTAAGGCTTAGAGGTTCTGAAAAAGACACTGGCTCAGTCTTCAAAGTGTATGCAGACCCCACCTCCCTGAGCATGCAAAATTCCCCTCCCCTTTCTGAAACTCCACTCACTCTGGTCTCGATTTTAGCCTGTCGAGGCAGCCAGAGAGAGGAGCAAGAAGCAGAAGAAGACAGATTTGTCGACAAGTACAGACGGTGGTGTTCAAAGGAGGAGCTACCGGAAGAAGAGAGGGAAGAGGAGATCAGGTAGAAAGAATGTAGGAGAGAAAATATAAGGAGAGAGGGAGGGAGAGAGAGAGAGAGAGAGGAGAGGGAAGGGGGTTGCAAACAGGAAAGCGCACAGGCGGCATTGGAGTTTAAGCTGCAGCAGCGAAGGAGAGAATAAGAGAGAAGGGAGAGAGGGGGGCCCAGAGAGAGACGGAGAGGTGCAAGAAAGAAAGAAAGTTTGAAGGAAGACAAAATGGTTGCGTGAGGAAGTAGAGGAGAGGAACTGACTTAAGGAAGGGAGGGAGTGAGACAGAGAGACAGGCAGAGAGAGAAAGAGAGAGAGATTGAGAAAAGTTTTTGAGACGGATGAAGAAAACAGAAGGACTGGATGGCAGAGGGAGCGAGCAGCGGCATTGGCAAAACCGGAGATTCTCAACAAAGGAGCCCGTAAGCATTTGACATGTACACAGCTGAAGTAACTGGACACTATAGGTTCGTACAGAATGGTCTCTTTCCTCCCCCCTGCGCATGCCAGAGGTGCGTCCACTTCGAATACTTGGGACACAATCATGGAGGAGGAGGAGGAGGAGGGGGAGCGCAGACATCCAGACAAGGAGACCACCCAGCTTTGGATCGGACCAGGCTGGATCTCTGGGCCAAGGATCCAACCAGGACTTCCTTGGGGAGCAGTAGACTGGAGAGAAGTTGTCACAGAAGCCCGCAAAGGAGACCTGTTTTTGTCGGGACTGTCCCATGCAACCGCGCTGGTCCTGTCTGCTCCTACGAAATTCCTCCAGCTCACTGTAACTGCAACGCAAGACACTGTCCGCCTTTAAGGGAGCAGTGCCGATGTATGCATAGTAATTCAAGGGTGTACACTTTTGGCGTACCTCATCAGTTACCCCACTTACAGGTGAAAGACCAGGGGTACAAGCTGTGCAAGACGGTCAGGTATGCGTCCATAGAAGATGAAGACTACGTTTCAGACAGGAGCAGTTTCGAACCCCAACACAGTCCACAAATGGGGTATATACCAAATGGGCATTGCGGGATAGGGGCTTTCGGGGTGGAGGGTGTGGAGGAAAGAGATACGCATCAAGACTGGGACAGGACGCAGCCGGAAAGATCAGAGCAAGGGTGTAACGGACATGGGGGATTTTACAAAGGGTTTTTCACCACGGAGGTCCCGCCAAAACACTTCAACCCAAACAGGAGGAGAAATGGGTCGTGTCTAAGTTCTGCAGGTGGGACGCAAAGTTTGAAATCGAACGGCGTGATGGTGAAGAGGGAGCAGAGTCCAGAGCCAGGGGAGCAGAGGAGGAAGGACACGGTCAGGGAGCAGATAAGACAAGTGGTCACCAACCTGGAGGACGTCCTAGGAGGGCTCAAGCAAGTCCATGTGGAGATGAGAGAGGTATGACTACTACTACTACTACTACTGCTACTACTGCTACTACTGCTACTGCTACTACTCCGACCACTACTTCTGCTACTGTTAATGCTACCACTACTTTTATTACTGCTACTACTACTCTAACTGTTACTGCGATTATACTAACTACTACTCCCGCTGCTACTACTACCACTACTTCAACTGCTACTGCTACCAGTACTTCAACTGCTACTGCTACCACTACTTCAACTGCTACTTCTACTACCACTGCTACTTCCACTACCACTACTGCTACTACCACTACTTCAACTGCTACTCCTGCTATTACTACTACTTATACTATTACTGCTGCTAGTACTACTGCTACTTCTACCAGCTATTACTACTACAACTACTTATCCCTATATTTATGATAGTAGTTATTTATAACACAGAATAAAAGGTTTTTGTTTGTTTTTTTGGTAGGGAGATTTGTTGTCACTGACTGTAGCAATGTTGTAGTTGTGTAATCATCAAATATTTCTGACCAGGTAACACCAATGGAAAAAAAAACAAAACAAAACAAGGACTAAACTAGTGTGTTAAAATTTAAATTAAAATCCCAACCAATTCTAGCTAAAACTACTAAAACCAGGACTCAAAGAATGCATTCACAATTTGAACTTAGTTGGCCCCTCTTTACCTTTCAGTACTAAAAATACAAAAATATGTTGACATGTACTTTACCAAACACAGTCACTTTTAGTCTAGCCTTGAGTCATGTTGTTTTGGATAAGGGGGTGGGGACATTTCTGAAAACATTACGTAGTTTTATAGTAACACGTGATCAACAGAAGCAGACTCTACTACTTTGTGCTATAAATAAAGTCTTAAATGAACGCTCTTATTACTTTTCCTGAAGACTTCTTTTCCTCATTTACAACACCTCCGCCTCTGTTCATTCCTTATACAGTAAACACAGAGCAGCACTTTATATTTTATGGGACATTTTTAATCTGTCCTGGAGCCAGTCCCACCTTCACTCCAGACAACAACATACCAGCTACAGCCATTTCCTGTAAATATGACTCAGTGACGCAAAAAGGGTTTAACAAAAACACATTTGGGCAAATACATTTCATCACCTCATTCAAGAGACCGCAGATCTTATGTAAAGTGAGGTGTAAATTGGTTAAAGGGCTCATATTAATTTATACAGACTTTTCTGAGCTTCTGACAGTATTATGTGGTACCCCTATAAAACATCTGGAGTTTTGCTATTTTCACACATATTTGAGCAATTGTGCATTTTCAGTCAGTCTGTCTGTCTCAAAATTCTCTGTTCACCAGGTGATGTCTTTCTTAGAATTGCTCCTCTGTGTTTCAAAGCTTATACAATTTCATCATTTTCTGATTTTTTCAACAGTACAATCACTATTTATTATGTCATAATGTGCTAGCAGCTAATGTTTTTAACTTCATTTAAAGGTACACAATATATGTTTTTGTGGTGGTGTTGTCTACATGTTATTGTTGTGCAGAACATTGAACGTCCCACAGTATGGCATTAAACCACCACCTAGCCCCACCTAGTGCCTCCGCTCAATTTCATTTCTCTCCAGCGACTTGGTCAGGAATTGGAATTCACTAAATGGTTTGCAAGAACCCTGGAAGTTGTAGACCACGCACCAGCCAATCAGAGAAGAGCTGTGAAGCCATGACTGGGTCCTTTTTTGTGGTACAGCACAAGAGTAAACAAAGCGGTCGAGATGGATGTAGACGAAGCCATACATTCTGTGTAATCTGTACAATTCCGAGATCGAGGATTTAAAGCCGGAACAAAGAGAATGTTTGGTGAATTTTATCAAGGGGAAAGATGTTATTGTCCTTCTTCCTATGAGATTTGGGTAAAGCTTAATATACCAGTTAGCCCTGTTAGCGGTGCATTACATACCTCACAACCAAATAGCAGTGATTGGTTAAATTTTTAAAAAGTACCCACTCACTGTCGAGCAAACGAATCCTAATGCTGCGAGGTCAGACGGTTTCCACGAACTGAAACTGTTTGATGAATCAGGCTAAGGCAACTCTGCTCATAATAAGAATGTAGGAAAAACACCTAAATACATGACAGACAGGTTCAATGCCATACTGTGGAAAATTCATAATGTGGAAGATACACAGCATTTTCATGGAGATAAGCAGGTGATGGACCCTATATTATTGATACTGTTGAATTAAACATGAACCAATTATATCTAACAGTATGGTAAACAGAAGTAATATCATTATAGTTTGTGTAGTAGTAGTAGTATTAGTAATAGTAATAGTTAGGGATGTAACAACTGAAATATCAAAATATCAAAAGTCTCACAATAATATCGTGGGTTGTCACAATATATCTAATTACAAGTTTATTTTCTTAAATGCATTTTTTTATAGTAGCAACAGCTTATAAACATCGGGACCTACATATCCCATGATTCATTTCAGAGCAAACAACATGAAGAGATATGTTTTTTACTTGAATTCTTGGGATTATGACGGAAATAATTCACACCAAAATCTTGTTATGGTATTTTAAAAGCAAAAAAGTTATATTTGCCTCTCCAAAATATCAAAAATAAATATTGTACTGAGAGATTTGGATATCATTACATCTCTTAGTAGTAGTAGTAGTAGTAGTGGTAGTGGCTTGCCATTCAGTAAGCTCTATTCCCAAACAATAGCCTTTGCAAACAGAATCCTCCCAGTAATTATCTGGTCTATGATTTTCTACATTGGCTGTGTATCTTATCACACCAACCAGTGTTTAACATGAAAGTCAGGGCAGGTGCAGATGTGGCAACCTTTTCATTGGGTTATAGTGACATTTAAAACTATCACTGGAGCAGACTGGCTGTTATCATTGTTCATTCCCTCGTTCATTCTCGTACACTGTGTTGTTTTGGCTTGGCTTTAGTTTGTATGTGTGAGAGGGCTGCTGCTGCTGACTGCATTGTTTGTCATCATCTCGAGTTGGGAACAATTTGCTCTGACCTTTCGCAGGGAACGCAGGATTCTGGCAAAGATCCGCACACACGTTTTAAAAGCCTGGACTTAACAATGGGGCCAAATGATACTGTGGTCCTTCCCTATTCTTTAAACAAGGCATTGATGTCAGTAGTGTTTACACAGTGGATTCGGCCAAAGGGAAAAGGAAGAGAAGCAAGTCTAAGCAACACTATGACTCTTTATTTTTTATTTAACAGCTATTACTACTGCTGATACTACTACTACAACTCCTGGTATTGTTACTACTAGTACTACAACTGATACTACAATTAGTACTACAACTACTACTACTATGGAAGATAATTTGTTCCATTAGATTTTGAATTTAAGTCCTGTTAAATTTCTCACTTTGAATGTTTTAACACTGAAAAAAACATGTTTGAATTATTTTTTTTCTGAATGGCAGTTGATGAAATTTCAAGTGTAAATTTGTTTGAAATGTGAAGTGTTTGAAATTCAAAAATAATAATAAAATAAAATTAAAAAATCTGCACAAAATTAAATATTCAGCACAAATATTTTCAAGCCTTCAAGTTCAACAGTCAAAATTCAAAGTGTAAAATTTGCAGTGAAAACATTTGCAGCAAAGATCCAAGATGCCAAGGCAGAAGCAATCGATCCACAGCAATCCAGGTCCAGGTCCAATAGCTTCATCTATTTTATTGCCAATAGGAAACAGCCTCTGTCCTCCTCACTCACACATGATCGATTGTTTCTGCCTTGACATCTTGGATCTTTGCTATGAAATTTTTCACTACAAATTTTACACTCTGAATTTTGACTGTTGAACTTGAGGGCTTGAAAATATACATGCTGAATATTTAAAAGGTGAATTTTTCATTTTGAATTTGAAACATGTTGAAAAAGTATACTTAAAATTTCAGCAACTAAAAATCTGAATATAAATTATTCAACATATTTTTTCAGAGTTAAAAAATTCAAACTGAGAAATTCAATGGTATTTAAAATTCTAAATCTAATGGAACAAATTATCTTCCATATACTACTCCTACTAGACTACTACCGCTACTACCACTACTACGACTACTACGACTACTACTACTACTACTACTACTACTACTACTACTACTACTACTACTACTACTACTAGCTTTTTGCCCATTATTCCTAAATTCAGGCTTAGTGCAACCTGAGCTCCTGCATAAGTTGACTAACTTTAGACATTGTCTAAGTCATAACTGAAGAATGACTTTTTTAGCCCAAAAATAGACACAACAACTTTTTTTTTTTTACTGCCTTTTATATTTTGTTTTGTTTTGGTTGAGACTTATTTGGCCCGGAGGAGGGCCTCCTTCTGCTTGTCTCCATGGAATAGCTGTTCCTTTGCTGTAATCCTCCACAGTGTGGCATAAAACTTCTCTATCTCCATAGAGAATGTTCCAAAGTATTGTTATAACTTTCCAATGAATCCTGCAGGCGGCATGCCACCTCCAGAAAGTTACATACTGTATCTTTAAATAGGTCAGAATGATATGAAGAACAACTTGCTCATTCTAAAACTGTGAAACATCAATTTTAACCAACATTAAGACAAAATAATAGCTGGAGCTCTCATTAAAACACATTCTATATCATACTTCAGAGCTGAATGGAATCGACACCTGCCTCCTTCAATAATCTTAACTAAAGGCTGCTTATTGCATTGATTCACAGTTGGATTTGCTGCCAACTCGATAAGGGAGCGATTATCTGGCAACATCTTAATAAGCTTTGGCTGCAGTGTAAATTGATGATGCTGTGAAAATGCCCAGTTTGACAGATACTTTGAAACTTTCCTTTTTGCCACGAGGTGAATACGTATTGATCTTGTCTTTTGTTATTCAGGTGGTGCAGCAAATTGATCGTCTCACTGCCAATATCGACCTAAGTGAAGAGACACCCAGCATCACCCCAGGGCCCGAAAATAATAATAATTGTGTGGACTTTTCTGAGGACTTGAGAGTGGTCGCCATTGGCAACCACAGACCCCAAATGGCTCAACACGTAGACGAGGAACGCATCATCTTACGCACGAACTCTCCGTCACCCATTCACACGGCGTCGGTGGTCAAAACGAACCGAATTGTCCCGTTTTCGAAGCAAAATGGATTGAAAAATGGTCACCCGCCTCAGTTTTATAATAGCAACCACATGGGACATACCATTTTAGGGCAAGAGACGCCCCACCCGCAAGCATTGGACCCTAAAGTCATTATAGAAAGTAGGACGCAAAAACCCCCGCCATATCCGCAAAATGGCCGATGTGGAAAGTACCAGGCCCCCGTCAAACCTGCCCGGACCCCCTCTTCGAATTTGGGGAGAGGTCGGCAAAGCTCCAGCATGGTATAGAAAGAAAGAGAGATGGAGAGAGAGATGGAGAGAGAAAGAGAGGAGGGGAAGTTGGATGAAATTTGACACCCTGCTACAGTGGAGTGGACTTGGGAGCAGGCAGGGGAGCAAATCCTGGTGAGTACAATAGACTTTTTACGTAACCTTTGTTTACAAGAGTCTGGCAACACGTGGTGGGTTCATGGAAAATGGGAAGTTTACATTAGTGAAAGCATTTTCCTCTAAATGGGAGTTGCACACCTGAAAATACATCTTCAGCAGTGAGGTAATGACAATGGTATTTTGATTGCAAATGTGGTCATTTTGATTGGGTTCAGGATGAAGAAAACTGACTCTTGTGAGGTTGAAATCATGTTAAAAGGTTGTTACTTCACCAAAAACATTTTTCATTCACACACGTTTGAGTAATGCTTTAATATTAGTCTGTCTACATCTCCAAAGCTCAAAATGCTCAGTTTCGTTGGCAGTGGTTTTCAAGTTAACAGCTACATTTGACTTTTAGTTCAGTAGAAAATTGCGACTCCAGGGCTGATATCTCCCAAATGATTCTAAAGAAGGTGTTTGGAGTTTAAAAACACAGTGGAGCTCTTCCTGTTTTACCACATGACATCAGAAAGAAGAACAGCATGTTTTCTGTTTGAGAGCAGAAATAAGTTTAAACATGCAGGATTTGTGTGTTTAATATGTGTAAATAAAACAAAACACAGCTCCAAGTGTGTTTTTCATGAGGAAACTACATCGTAACAAAGAGAAAATAGTGTCGTATGGGCCCTTTACAAGGCGAAGAAAGTACAAATGTGGATATCGCACAAAGCAAATGCATTGGGAAATTGAAAGTTTTGAACCATTTCCTCAAAGTCCATAGACAAATCTGATACATTAATTATCATACAAAAATGTCCTGTTTAATATTCATGGTTTTTAAACTACTTTTTGGGCTTCCTCTATAAAAATATAAGTAATAAGTGATTTCTGAGCATACAGAATACACCAGGACTTGGTCTTTGATGGTGAACTTGGAAAAGTTCAAATGAGGCTAAAAACAATATCTTCCCGCTTCCAATGCCAATGTGGAGCCAATCATTCAAAATAAAATATGATGATACTTTGCAGCAGATGGTGTCACGATTCTTTGGGGGTGTGATACAAACTGTAGGCACTGCTCTGTCAAAGGCCTGTAAGACTTTAATCTGAGCTTTATTTTAACACAATCTGACCAGAAAAATGGACTTAGTCGGAACAACAACAGGTATAATCACAGACTCTTGAAAATGTGTTGTTTAAATCCATTTTGTATTTTTCTTGAGTTTTTAGGCTGTTTTAAAATGTTAATACTAATGTGTGCATTGTGTCACCGTGGTAACTGATGAACATTCCAGAGCTAAATGTAGAACACCCCCAGCGTGATATCACTGCAAAGTATCTATTAAGCGTAATAGGACCTTCAAGATGATTTAGGCTATTGTTGATCTGATGCCAGCATGTTCTGGTAACAGCAAATCCTTATCCAAGCTTTTTCAAATAATAAGATATCTCCAGTACTTAATGCTTCCAAAGTAAACAAACATTGCGTAGTGGTTGACAGAAATTCATTTTTTGTTCTAATTAACTCCCAAACAGCACAAAATTGTCTAGGAAAGTGTGATTTGTTGAAATAAATGTAAGATATTTTTGACTTACTTTCCCCTTACTGTGAATCTCTAATTAAAATAGAACATTAGTGACAGCCTTCTATACTAACCAGATACTAGCCTTATTATAAAACTTCTAAATTTAGATACACACTTCTAATGCTGTCCAGGCCTCACATCAAACAGACAGAGCTTTGTAGTCGGCTGCAATGTGCCAAAACAATTGTATTCATATTTTGTTGTGTATTTGATTTATTTTGATGGCAAACATGAATTAGTGCCTTTCATTTGTTGTGCATGACTCCAATATTACATCAGCGGAGATTTATAAGACACATTTATCCTGTTTAAGTTCTCTAATGATTATGGCTGGTTTAGTCACGTCTGACCTTACTTTAGTCCTGCTCTAGTCCTGGTCTAGACCTGGTTTAGACCTGGACTGGACCTGGTTTAGGACTGGTTTAACCCTGGTCTGGTTGCTGTTTTAGATCTGGTTTAGGCCTGGTTTAGATTTGGTTTAGTCCTGGTTTGTCCTGGTTTAACTCTCTTCTGATTGCAGTTTTAGACCTGGTTTAGACCTGGTTCAGACCTGGTTTAGTTCTGGTTTAACCCTGGTCTGGTCCCAGTTTTAGACCTGGTTTAGACCTGGTTCAGACCTGGTTTAGTTCTGGTTTAACCCTGGTCTGGTCCCAGTTTTAGACCTGGTTTAGACCTGGTTTAGTCCTGGTTTAGACCTGGTTTAGACCTGGTTTAGTCCTGGTTTAGACCTGGTTTAGTTCTAGTTTAACCCTGGTCTGATCCCAGTTTTAGACCTGGTTTAGACCTGGTTTAGTCCTGGTTTAGACCTGGTTTAAACCTGGTTTAGACCTGGTTTAGTCCTGGTTTAGACCTAGTTTAGTCCTGGTTTAGACCTGGTTTAAACCTGGTTTAGACCTGGTTTAGACCTAGTTTAGTCCTGGTTTAGACCTGGTTTAGTCCTGATTTAACCCTGGACTGGTCCCAGTTTTAGACCTGGTTTAGTCCTGGTTTAAACCTGGTATAGACCTAGTTTAGTCCTGGTTTAGACCTGGTTTAGACCTGGTTTAGACCTGATTTAACCCTGGCCTCATCCCAGTTTTAGACCTGGATTAGACCTGGTTTAACCCTGGTGTAGTCCCAGTTTAAACCTGGTTTATTCCTGGTTTAAACCTGGTTTAGTCCTGGTTTACCTCTGTCTTAATCCTAGACTAATTTAGTTTAATCTAGTTTAATCTGCTTGAGTATAGATGTTCAGTCCAATTTTATTCTTGGTTAACTTTGTACCAAATTTTTATCTTTTATCTTATTAACGTGAAAAATGTTAATCATAAATGGGTTGTAGTCATCTTAAATTCTTCCTCATATCCTCATTATTACTCACAATAAGTTTATAAGACCTTTTTACAACTCTCAGAGACCAGAGTGGAGTTTTGCCCTGGGGGTAAAACTAACAACAACAACTAGCATGCTAACCACACACTTCTTGATTCTCTGACAAGTAAGTTCTTTATAATTTGACGCAGACAACACACAATGATCATATTTTGACCACAAGAGCTTCTTATACAATATATCTGTACTGGGGCAAGACACATTTTTGCTTAAAAACATGAGAAAAACAGATATACAGTGTCTTTAATTCTGTCTTTTTATTAGGAGTGCCGACTGCAATTTTACATCAGTAGTTGAAGTTAGACGTTAATTAGACATATTTATTCCGCTTTAGTCCTGTTTTGAGCCTGGATTAGTCAAGGTTGATTGTAAACAGCTCTGTACCTTGATTTTTCCCACGTTTTTGAGCAAAATTATGTATATATCTAACATGTACTGCCTGCGTCTAACATGTTTTATTGTGCGATAATTAAAAAGTGTGTGTTGGCATGCCAGTTGTTTTTCACAGTTTTAAGTCAGTAAATATCAGGTACACTGCCTTCACAATCCAATTCAGTTAACATTTTGTCTTGGTTAATTTCAGACACAGAATTTGTTTTGTCTGTGCCCCTTTCCTTCATTACCAAGGAGAAGGCCGTGGTTTCCAACTTTGGTGTAAAAATCAAAAGAACTTGCCCACTTTGTTTACCGCCACCAAAATAACAAGACGCATTTTGCTTTTTTCTCTCAATATTTACATTTTTCGTGTGTCTGCCGCTGTGACGTGATCTGTTTTTAGCGCTGGAGTGGTTTCTCGGAGGCTAAATGAGCTGCAGCCCTCCTCACTGTTTATGTGTTTGAAGGGAGGGGGCGGGGCTTCTGCTGCTCGTGATGTCACATGGTTTCCCGCTCACAGCTTCACAGGAAAACAGTCAACATGTGTGATAATTAAAAACAAGATTAGGCAATAAGAAGCGAATGGACAAATTGCAACTATAAAAAGACTTGTATATTAATTATAAAGTACTTTTATTTCACTCAAAGAAAAGTTAAAGGGCAAATATTACACTCTTTTCTGATCTGTGTTATAATGTTGTTTCCTCATCACAAACATACGAGAAGTTGTGTTTTGTTTCATTCACACATATTCAACACACGAACCCTGCATAATTAGGTTCTTTTCTCAAACAGAAAACACTCTCTTCCACCTTGTGATGTCATGTGGTAACACAGGAAGTGCTCCACTGTGTTTTTAAACTAAATCTAGTCAAGTTAAGATGACTTGAATTAAGAAAGTTTTATCATGATTTGAGTAAATTTCACTTGACAAGTAAAATTATCTGCAAGTGGAATAAGACTTTTTGTGCTTAAAATATGAAAATACATCTCTAAAAACAAGAAAAACAACAACTTTTTGCACTTAAAATAAGAAACAAACTAGATTTTTGCTTGAATTAAAAAAACACACTTAATCAATTGGTATATAATTTTACTTGTCAAGTTGAATCTACTCAAATAAATAAAATTCTTAATTTAAGCCATTTTACTCACCTAGATATTGTTTTTTTCCAGGGTACACCTTCACTAGAATAATTTGGAAGGTTTCAGCCTTGGAATTGCCTTTCTCTTTTGAACTAAAGAATAAAAGTAGCTGCTGAAAACTACTGCTTCATGACATCACAAGGTGGAACAGAGGATTTTGAGCTTTGGAGATGTAGACAGAGCAATACTAAAGGCTTACTCAAACATGTGTGAATGAAACAAAACACAACTCCACGTTTTTGAGGTTGCAACAGCATTATAACAGGCTCAAAGCACACAAGATACAAACTTTATTTCTATAGCACATTCTTACAAACAAAGCATTTTCCAAGGTGATCATACACACAGAGATCATACAACGAAGATCACAAAAAGGTAAACTGCTAAAACTTCCTTACACAATAAAACCTATAAAAGCAAATAAAAGCAAAAAACATAAAAATCATAAAATAACAGTAAATAGTAAAGTAAATAAAATAAATAAAAGACACAGAGGACCACACAACTCACGCAGTGTTAAAAGCCAGAAAATAAAAGTGGGTTTGAAGATGAGGCTTAAAACACTCCGCTGTGGGGGCTCTTCAGACATGGGGCCAAGAGTCAATTTTATGTAATATAGGACCTTTAAAGGACTGACTATATACTTTTTTAACTGTCCAGTTTATTTAGGATATGAACTGAAGTGGTAGTCTTCAAGTGAAATGGTGCTACTACTTCTACCACTTTGTACTTTTTGAACAACGGCTGCTACTACTACAACTCAACTACTCAGCTCAATTACAAATTACTCTTACAAGCTTCCTCGCCTTATTAGTTCTTATACAAACTACTGTTATTACTATATTACCACTGCTTTTACTTAGTACTTTTATTCCTACTATTGCTGCCACTAGTTGTATTGGGCTTTTTATTACTCCAGAAGTTTTACTGTAAAAGCAGCTAAAACATTTGAGACTGAATAACATCGCATATCCATTTCGAAAAGCATTTTATTAGATGAGAACTGAAAAAAAAAAGTTGTATTAGTGGTAGTGTTGCTGACCATTATTTCTCAGTAACATCAGTAATAGACAGAGTGGGCAGGTCTAATAATAAATTCTAAAATATGTTCTTTACTCTTGGTTCAAAACTGAGTAAAGGTGCTTGAAGTTAATGTGTGTTTTTTGTTTAAAATCTGTAAAAGTGATATTTTTAGCTTCTTTTGACATGAAAATTGGCTTTATTTTTCTGTTACTAGTTTTATCACTACATATTACACTATTTTCTGATCTGTTATAATGTTGTTTCTTCATCACAGACTTGGAGTTGTGTTTTTTTCATTCACACATGTTTAACACAGAAACCCTGCATTTTCACTTACTTGAGTTCTTCTCTTAAACTTAAAACACTCTGTTCCAATTTGTGATGCCATGCACAAGAAGTGCTCCACTGTGTTTTTAAACTCTTCACATCTTCACTAGAATCATTCGGATAATTTCAGCTCTGAAGTTTCCAATCTCTACTGAACTGGAGGTAAAATGTGGCTATTAACTTGAAAACTACCACTTCATGACATCACAGGGTGGAACAGAGCATTTTGAGCTATGGAGATGTAGACAGACTAATAATAATGCAGGATTACTCAAACGTGTGCACATGTATATGAAACACAACTCCGTTTATATTTTTGATGAGGTAAGAGCATCATAATACGGCTAAAAGCTCATGGGAGTAAATATAGGACGTTTAACACTAAACTAGGTAAAAACAAATATTCTTTAAACATCCATATTAGTCATTTGTCTGCTACCCACATGTTTTAATCAAGTCTGTCTTTTAAAGTCCAGCACAGCCTTGCAGCAGTGAAATCTCACCCGATTAGTCATATTCTTTGGACTTTATAAATAAGGGAAGAATGACACCTCTATTTAACAGAGCGCCCACGCAGTCACAGACACTACGCAGTGTTACTCATGACTGGACATGATGCAAACAACATGTGACAAATAACTCACACAAGGGCTTCTGGGAAATCTCTCAGACTACAAATCTGATGTTGTCTACCAAAACATGCATCATTCTTAAACAGCGTAACATCATAAGGGACATGTTTGTAGTTATTGTGTTTAGTTTAGTAGGAGTTATCAAAAGGATGGCAGAAGTCTATATAACTGTCTGAGAGATTCACTGTTTTTGAAAGAAAACATATCCAAATTTATAATCCACAAATGTTCATAATTTGTTAAGGACTGACTTGAGAAAACTTGTCATATTTATCTTATGACTTAAAGTCCTTTCAACTGACAGCGGTGACGTCTTTGCGGTTGAATAATGGCACCGCTTTCTGAGGCTATTGAGAAAATAATTGAACGTTTGTTTATTTGTACTGTCAGAGAAGATGTCAAACTTTGTTCCAGTTTTTGTTTTATGTGGCGAGGGCCTGTAATTACAAAGATATTAACCATAAACCAAGTCAACAAATCTGGAATCTGACAGCTAAACAGCAATTCACAACAAAGAACTCTGAGTGCACTTTCCCTTTGCTCCCCACGCTAAGTCACTCCCCCTTCAGAGTCATGAGTGTACTGCGCATCGTATCAGAGCAGTGTTATAAAATATCATTCATACCTCATCTTCAAGTGAGAGTTTGTTGTGAATGATACATGGATATTTGAGATTTGACATCTTAAGGGAGTATTGATTTTCTATGGAGAGGTCGGTCTATAAAAAGAAAGTAGATGGAGTTGAGTTGCCATAAACAATTATCTGTAGTGATCGGTGTCTGGGCTGGAGAAAGATATGTGAAATAAACAAGGAACCATGTGTTTTTTTACAGTGTGTCTGACTCAAATTAAGTGTGATCTGTGAAGAGGAACTAGGCCTTTGTAATACCACCACAAATGAGTCAACGATGATTTAGAAAGTAAAAGAAGAACAAGAAGTTTGGTAAAAAGTCCTGAAAATATTTGTATTTAGAATTGTCTGTTTTTTCTTTGGCATGTCTGCTTAGAACTGTTTACTACCATACCAAAATGTTCCATGGCATGGCATTAAAGGTTGTATGGAGGATTTTTTGTTTTTGTTTCAAATTGTCAATGAAAGTTTAAAATACCATTACAGAGACACAGCAGCCTTGTAATTATGATGACCAAAAAAAAAAAAAGATTGAAAATCTATCAACTGTGGGCGTAGTGAGGCCACAGAAACATCAGCCAATAAAAAAACGAGGCTCCCTCATTTTCTATTGGCTGTTAGGTTGTCAATCAAACTCAATACGTTTCTAGTGTAACGGACTCGCAGGCGCGCAGGGATTATATGGTTTATGGGGCGGTTCTTGGAGGCTTTTTCAAACTGTCGCTTCCTCGCAGTTCGCTTAAAGTTTGTTGCAATGCCGGACGAGAATCCAGGACCAGTTCACCTCAAAAGAAAGTCGGTTTTTGAGGTCACTGAAGGAAGAAGAGAAGGGGAAAATGAGCAAAGCCAAACTGAGGTGATTCTTGGAGGTTCCTTCCAGCGATTGCGCGAAGGAAGCAGGCGAAGGGTCTAAAAACTGACGCTCGGTCGCTAAATTATTTCTAGACGGGTCACTTCAACAGTAATTCTGAACGCGCACTGACTGTAAACAAGCGTGATTTCTAGAGTAAAGAGGCGGGAGGAGGTGTTTGTACTGAGGGAGCTGTGGAGGAGGAAGGTGGTGTCACGCATGCACAACATTTGAAAAAGGACTGTCGCTGTATTTCTTTTCCCTTTAAAAATCCTCTATACAACCTTTAAATGATCTAACAAGAGACACACCAGGCCAATTTACAGGCCAGATCTGTGCAGAGGCATAGCCAGGCTGGTGCCACCTAGTGCCTCTGCTCAATTTCATTTCTCTCCAGCGACTAGGTCAGGAATTGGAATACACAAGACGTTTTGCAAGAACTCTGGCAGTACGAGTTTGGGCACCAGCCAATCAGCGAAGAGCCATACATTCTGTGTTGGCAACGATTCCTGAGATCAAGGATTTAAAGCCGGAACAAAGAGAATGTTTGTTGAATTTTATCAAGGGAAAAGACGTTATTGCCCTTCTTCCTACAGGATTTGGTGCATTACATACGTCACGACCAAATAGCAGTGACTAGTTAAATTAAAAAAAGTGCTCGTTATTGTCCTTTTTCCTATAGGATTTGGGAAAAGCTTAATATACCAGTTAGCGGCGCATTATGTACGTCACAACCAAATAGCAGCAATTGGTTAAGTTAAAAAAAGTACCCGCCTACCGTTGAGTGAATGAATCCTAATGCTGCAAGGTCAAATGATTTCCCACAAAATGAAACTGGCTGAATCAGTCTAGCAGAGGCAAGCCTGCTCTGTAAGAATACAAGTTTTGGAAGGTGTTTTATAAAAGTAAAACCAGGGAGGGGGCTGGTGCATTGTAATATTGTTTCAACCTCCTGCTTATACGCAACAGTTTGAGGATCATTCAAAAGATAGAATATTCTGTTTTGAATGGTTAATTACCATGGCAGCTAGGGATGGGTATCATTAAGAAGTTGCCAGTACGATACATACCTTGATACTTTGGCCAGATTGATTCGATACAGTTCAGTAAAAAACAAAAGCTAATTCATGGGCCCATCCATCTATTTTCTTCTGCTTATCCGGGGCCAGGTTGCAGTTGCAGCAGTCTAAGCAGGGACTCCCAGACTTCCTTCACCCCGGACACTTCCTTCAGCTCCTCCGCGGGAACCTTGACACTTTCCCAGGCTAACCGTGAGACATTGTCCCTCCAACGTGTCCTGGGTCTTTCCCGGGACCTCCTTAGTCATGGGTGTGACACTAAATGTCTTTGTTAAACCACTTCTTGTGCAAAGATAATATGAAACACACCCATTTAAAGAATCAGAACAATAAACCCATTTCCTTCCTCTGAACACGCAACAAAACTGTAGCACTGTAACAAAATAATTATTAAAATATACCAAAAAATACTCTTGGCCATATATTGGTATGGCAGCCCATGATATCAATACTGTATCATCACATTAAACGATACGATATATATCAATATTTTTGATATTTTTGCACACCCCTAATGGCAGCTCTACAAATATTTCATTACTAAGCCCATGGAAGCAGTAATTAATCAAAGAACAAATAAAAAGCCAAAAAAAAGTCAGATTATTAGCTATAATGAATAATTCAAAACATGATAAATTTATAATGCTAACTGGCCAATTATGTAAACACTCTGTTGAGGTAAACTTATTGTGAAAATTGGGCAGAGCTTTTTAACTGTATGGTAAACACCAGACTGTGAGGTAATGTACAGTCATTCCTCTGCAGTGGTCATCCAGGCTGGCTGCCAGATGTGGTTACTGGGGGTTGGGGCATAATATAGGGAATTTTTTGCACAATACACATCTAATACTATGAAAACACTGGGAGAGAAAGAAAAACGTACTTGTAAATCCTTCCTAAAAATATATAAAAAATTTTGCTAACTCAAAAAACTTTCATGCAGAATTTGTCCTTCTTTTTACACAATGACGAAGGGATTGCACAGATGTCAAAACAATGCGGTAGTTTTATCTTTTTGTCCAACCCAGACTAAGTAATTATGGTTAGGATTTTAGGAAGTCTGTTTTTCTCATTAATAACTGGGTATGCAAATTCTTAAACTGCAATATTAAGACATAGTTTTATCAGCGCATACTTCAAATTGATAAAACAAAACAAAACAAAACCAAAATAGTTTAAGAAGAAGGATTCATTCTTAGCAACAACTTAATTACGGAGTTACCAAAATATACTTTAATATAGAAAAAAACTATTTATATTCTGTTAGCTGCCTCATTTGAAACTAAGATCTCAAAATATTCATGGTTTATAGTTTACAGTTAGGACCAAGAATAGTTCAAAGTTCCCAGTCGGGTGAAATGTTGCACAAAGTTTATGTACCCCCCTCTTGTGTAGAAAATGCGTCACTGCAGACTATTTTTCCCTGTTCTCAGCGTTGGGCAAGCACAATCTGGTTTTGATCATAAAAGTGCCTGAAAAAGTGCCAGTGAAGAGAGAGAGAGAAAGAGAGAGAGAAAGAGAGAGAGGGAATGAAGAGAGAAAGAAAGACAGGGATACAATACTTCTGCTGCTGTAATCCTTTTGCCATTGGAAACAGCCTGTAGCGGTGGTTGTATTGTAGACACAAAGTTAGTGCTGGGTCAGGGCTGTCAGAGTGTGTGTGTGTGAGAGAGAGAGTGTGTACTTTTTATAATAATATATTTTTTATATATATATTTGTTTATTTAGGAGCAGGAAAGTGGCAGAGGTGAAAGATTTGTCATTGTAAAACTTTATAAGTGTTCAGGGCTACATCAGCTGACTCATTCTTTCCATCCAGAGCGAACAAGAAAATGTGGTTTTGCGGGAGTCAGGTGGACAATATATTTCAACAATTTTAAAGCTAAAAAAAATATCCAGTACATTTTTGTTACAGCAAAGAGCGTTATGTAGTATTTTAAAAATGTATTACACCAACTGCTGAACCTCGGCTGTGCCTCAAAGGGCCCATGTTGCGCTGTTCTCTGATCAATGTTATTATGTTGTTTCCTCATCCAAAACATACCTGGAGTTGTGTTTTGTTTCATTCATACATATTTAACATACACAATATACGCTGTTCCACCTTGTGATGTCATGTGGTAATATAAGAAGTGCTCCACTATGTTTTTAAACTCCATACACCTTCACAAGAATCATTTGGGCAATTTCAGCTCTGGAATTTCCATTTTTACTGAATTAGGCAAGGCAAGTTTATTTGTATAGCACAATTTGTACACAAAGTAATTCAAAGTGCTTTACAGAATAAGAAATACATTAAAATCATAATCAAAACAAATCAAAACATAAATAATCATGAACTAAACTGAACTGAATTAAAGGTAAAAGGTAGCCAGGCTGGCGCCACCTAGTGCTTCCAGTCAATTTCATTTTCTCTCCAGTGACTAAGTTGTGGACCACGCACCGGCTATTCAGCGAAGAGCTGTGAGGCCATGACGTCAAACTCAAGCACCTGTCTGGGTCCCTTTTGTGGTACAGCACAACAGTAAACAAAGCAGTTGAGATGGATGTAGACAAAGCCATACATTCTGTGTTGGCAAAGATTCCCGAAATTGAGGATTTAAAGCTGGAACAAAGAGAATGTTTGGTGAATTTTATCAAGGGGAAAGACGTTACTGCCCTTCTTCCTACAGAATTTGGAGCATTACATACGTCACGACCAAATAACAGTTATTAGTTAAATTAAAAAAGTGCCCGCCTGCCGTCGACCTAACGAATCCTAATGCTGCAAGGTCAGATGGTTTCCATGAAGTGAAACTGGCTGATGAATCAGGCAAGGTAAAAGGTAGCTGTTAACATGAAAACTACCGCTTCATGACATCACAAGGTGGAATAGAGCAGTCTGAGCTCTGGAGATGTTGACAGACTACTAATAAAAGATTACTCAAACATGTGTGATTGAAACAAAAATGAGGTAACACCATTATAACATAGCTAAAACACAAGAGTAAATTTTGTGCGATATAGGACCTTTAACCTGTATATAGATGGATACAAGTTTTTCTCATTCTCAGTTTATGGACAGGCCTCATGTGAAAGAACTCCAGAATTCACTCTCTGAGCTGCAGAGGTTGCACTAGCACTGATTCATGATTGACTGTATTTGCTGCTGTTTAGGTAGGAGGATCCAGATCACTGAGAAGCATTTTAGGTTTAAACCATCTGGATTTCAGCATTGAAACTAGGGCTACTCGATTATGGAAAAAATCATTATCACGATTATATTGATTAATATTGAATTATTCAAACGATTATTCAGTTTATTTTTTAGTTACACGATGCATTTATTCAGCATTTAGCTCTCAAAAAAACATGCAAAACCTTCAAATTGAAAATAAATATAGGTTAAAAATATGTACCTTAGAGCAGTTTTGCGATGTATAAAACATAAAATTAATAAAATATACTTGAACACGTACTAAGGCATAGAAAAACATAAATGTATCCAAAATAAACTATATATCCGGCTGTTCTACAATCTCTATACTTAAAAAATAAAACGGATTTACTTATTTATATAAAAAATATCCCAAAATAAAGTTTGTTAAGCTTTATCTTTTCAACTCGATTATAGAAGTTTGGAGATCATTTGACACACAAATCGAAATTGCGATCAAAATTCAATTAACTACATAGCCTTAATTGAATCTGGCAACCCAAACGAAAGACTCATGTGAGGCGCATTCTGCTTTCAGATTGGATAATAGTCTTGAGAACCAAAACAACAAAACAACAGGATCAGCATTAGAATTGTCACCAGTAAAAAATATATTTGATTTGAAGATATCTACCTCGACACAGCTCGGTCAGTTTTATAATGTTATAAATCAAAATATTTCATACAACCTCTTTAATGTGTTCTATTCCTTTCAGCTTAGATCTGTCAGTTCTGCTTCACCCGACTCACCCATCCTTTTCAATGTCAAATACAAGGTACAAAAAAAAGTATGTTGTAAATCGTTACTGAACGCATAACTCAAACACCATTGAAATATTTACAGAATCACTCGCGTGCCCTTACCCTTCAGGTCCAAACAAACAAACACAAACACGCTCACAAAAATGGGGTTGTTTACAGCAAGAAATGAATCAATTATAGAATCAAATGGCTCCAGTTTTCAAAGCATGAGTCACAAGGACATACCTGAGAATAGCATTGGACACGTCTATTCATTACTGCGCTGCTTCCATCACAGTTTTTTGTCAATGGGAATGAAAGAATATGACGCATTTTGTAGAGAGGGTTTGATTCAGGAGACGTGCAGTGGTGTTGGTGAAGAAGGAGATCGGGAGAGAGGCTGAGGAGGCTGGTGATTCTGCTACAGGGTGAAATAGCAGTAGGATGGAGGAGAGAGAGTGCATTTATACGGATTCAGAGGCAATTGTTTAAAGATTGGGTTCGTCATTTTCAAAGTGTGAAAGGAGGTGAAGAAGTTTTTTGATGGCCAAAAGGCACAGGGTATCGTGAACAAGTCAACACGTAAATAAGGAAAGAAGTAAGCAACAAAGTAAAGAAGAAATAAAGTGAGCAAGGAAGCACGAAAGGAAGCAATCAAGGAAGCTGGTAAGCAAGAAGGGAAGCGAGCAAGGAAGCAAGGAATTAAAGAATGAAACAAGGAAATGAGCAATTTAGCAAGGAAGTAAAGAGGGAAGCAAGAAATTAAGCAAGTAAGGAATTAATCAAGGAATGAAGCAAGCAAGGAAGGATGGAAGAAATCAAGCAAGTAAGGAAGGAAGGAAAGAAGGATGAAAGAAAGGAAGCAAGAAAATAAAGAGAGACTCATGGAAGTAAAGAGGGAAGCAAGAAATTAAGCAAATAAGGAAGTAATCAAGGAAAGAAGAGAGGAAGTAAGGAATTAAGCAAGTAATGAAGAAAGGAACCAAGAAAGTAAAGAGGAAAGCAAGGAAGTTATGAGGGAAGCAAGGAATTAAGCACGGAAGGAAGTAATCAAGGAAAAAAGCATGGAAGTATGGAATGGATCAAGCAAGTAAAGAAGGAAGGAAGGAAGGATGGAAGAAAGGAAGCAAGAAAATAAAGAGGGGAGCAAGGAAGTGAAGAGGAAAGCATGAAATTAAGCAAGGAAGGAAGTAATCAGGTAAAAAGAAGCAAGGAAGTAAGGAATGAAATAAGGAAGGGTGGAAGGAAGCAAGTAAGGAAGGAAGCCTAGGTAAATAAATATTGTGGCTAAAATCCAGGTTGTGATTCGATTAAGGTGTTTTTAGAAATAGAAACACATTAATAAATTGTATAAATGCAAGGATAATAACATCTCCATGGTGACAAGAAGGTGACGGACCAACATAAAAGTTACACAGTGCACCTTTAACTGAAGACTTAACCTAAAATGAGTAGTACCTTCTTCATTCGTATAAAATATTCTGATGTTTTGAACAGAAAAGAAGTCTGGCATTTTGTTTTCTGTGAACACTTGAGACTTTATTCACTTCACTGCAACCTTGAATGTAAACAAACCATCTTTGTCCTGTTTCTGTTTGTGTTTGTTTCAGGAGCTGTCATGGCCTGAAGAGGGGGGTGCCATCGAAGGACTTGCCCCCAAGAGCCCACCCAAAGCCCACCCCAAAGCTCACCCAAAGCTCACCCAAAGCTCACCCAAAGCTCACCCAAAGCCCACCCAAAGCCCACCCGCAGTCCTAGAGGATCGGAGAGATGCAAGACCGTCAACACAAGATGGAATGTGTTCAATAGATGTGGGAAGAATAGCTTAACCCATTCACCACCAACTAAAGATACAAAGATTAATTTATTCTATCTATTTTATTATTATATTGTATTTTGAGGCAGCTTAAGCCACTTTGGACCTTTATATTTATATTGAAAATAAATATATGATGAAGAAACTGTTCTGATCGCTTTTTGCACTTAAGGAAGGTAAAATTACTCACTCTTTCATTTCAACAAGTAAATACTCTGAATGAAGATCTTGGACACACAAAGTATAAATCTGGATTAAAGGGGCACTGTGTAACTTTTCTGATGAAGGGGGAGGTCCCACACTGAGCTGCCAGGTCTCTAAAAACAACACAAGACAGGACGTGAAAGGCAGGTTTAACAAATTATATGTCAGATCTATGGAGAGGCAAGCACGCTCTCAGTAAGAATGCCTCTTTTTTGAAGTATTTTGAGTAATAAAAACACCTGCAAGTGAATAAATGTAACACTCATATGTTTAATGCCATACTGTGGAACATTTAAAGCAATAGATTTTTTATGAGACAAACAGGTGGCAGACTAAAGTTAATGCACAGTAAAAAAAAATAAAAAATTTATCCTGAAAATAATAATCAGATATGGGGAGAGGCAGTCGCACTCACAGTCAGAATTCTTGTTTTTCTAGGTATTTTTGAGCTATTAAACCACCTGTAATTGAATAAAAGTAAGGTAGAGTTGTTTAATGCCATAATGTGGAACATTCCAGGCAGGGAAATGACTTATCCATAGAAACTTGCAGATGACAGACCTCAAACAAAAAAGTTACACAGTACACCTTTAAATGAGTATACTCTTAATACATTGCAGGAATGTCTAGAGTTAGAGTTGAGATTTAAATCTAGGGAGAAAAAATCCATTGAATAAAATATAATAATGTAGAAAACAAAAAAGTCAATCCAGTAAATATTTAGTAATGAGATGATTTGATTTGACGTGTAGGCTGCAGGCTGTTTGAAGCAGACAGCGCATTTGTGTGGAGCAGGTGGTAACAGCACACAGATGGAGATGACACACACAAACACACACGCACACACAAACACACACACACAAACACACGCACACACACACACTGGAGTCTCTTTGTCACAGTTGGGTTTGATTCAAAGAGAGACGTGATCCTAAATGTCAATAACACCACAATCTAAGCAAAGAGGAATTCATTCACAAGAAACAACAAATCTCCCCAAAGAATGCAAGGATTTTGATAACACCAATCAAATGTGAAAGTTAAAGCCACTCTACCTGATGTGTTCTGTGTTAAGCACATTCTTCCTCGCTTACCTAACACAATCCTAGTATTCTAATAATTCACTGTGATGAGTTAGCTGCTTTCAGAACTTTCAAAAGGGCAATGCAGCGTTTTGCTAGTCAGGCTGGCGCCACCCAGTGCCTCCACTCAATATCATTTCTCTCCAGCAACTAGGTCAGGAATCAGAATACACTAGATGGTTCACAAAAACCCCAGAAGTGTGAGTTCGGGCACCAGCCAAACAGTGAAGAGCCATATATTCTGTGTTGGCAACGATTCTCGAGATCGAGGATTTAAAGCAGGAACAAAAAGAATGTTTGGTGAATTTTATCAAGGGGAAAGATGTTATTGCCCTTCTTCCTACGGGATTTGGAAAAAGCTTAAAATATATATATGTCATGACCAAATAGCAGCGATTGGTTAAATAAAAAAAGTACTTGCCTACCGTAGAGCGAACGAATCCTGATGCTGTGAGGTCAGACTGTTTCTATGAAGTGAATTAGGCTATTGTTTTGCTGTCAGCGTCATGCAACTAGCATGCCAATAGCGCATCAGCTAGAAATATTTTATAATTAGATGCAGAGAGTACATGGTGGTCTAATTTTAACTGTAAGAGCTGCTTTTATCTGTACAAGGGCAAGAAAATGTTTACTTTTAAGATCATGTGTAGTGCAGTCCCTTTAAGGTCCAAATGAATACATTTTAGTAACTTTTGTCACCTTGGAGGAACTTTGATTCACAATGTGTAAAATGCCTGAAGCTCTGCCAGCTGTTCTGCACTGTGGCCAGTTGGGCACATGCCAAAGGCGGTGTTCTTGGTTATGACAATTAGCTGAATGTCTCTCCCGGCTCTTCACCGCCCATTCTCACGCTGCTCTGTCCTTTATCCTACCTCACTCAATACTCAATACTACAGATACAGAAAGGCTTTATTTGAACCTTGTGATGCCATGTAGTGGGAGTTCAAGATACATTTTACCTTTAATTTAGCAGAGATTGTCAAATCAGGGCAAATCCAAGTGATTTTAATGAAGGTTTATGGAGTTTAAAAACACAGTGGAGCACTTGCTGTATGACCACATGACATCACAAGGTGGAAAAGAGTGTTTTGAGAGAAGAACTCAGCCTAAATATTCAGGATCTGTGAGTTGAACATGTATACAAAGTAAAACACAACTCCAGGTCGGTTTGTGATGAGGAAACAACATTCACTTAATTATAACAAAGATCAGAAAATAGTGTAATATGGGCCCTTTAAATTGCTCCAAAGTTAAACTCCTAATTTATAGCTTTGTTTGATTGTTGATTTCGTATTTTGTCAAACTGAAAGTCTGAAAGCAAAAACTAGCTGTTAGATGCACCAGAGCAGATCCGCATCTGTTCTGATAATGTCTGCAGTTGGTGAAGCCTTGAAAGTTGATCGTCAAATGCCATAAGTCTAAACTTCATCGTTTTTTTTTGTTTAAATAAATCTTTCAGGCAAGGACAACACTCTAAAGTCACCTCATTCCTCACCCCAAAACAAAGTCCACATTTGAGTGAGAAGGTAATTCTGCCCTTTTGATAAATGGGAGCAACTTTGAAAATGCGAAAATGCCAGGAACAAAACACGCCTGTTTGAGAGTAGCCGTCAGAGGCCATGAATAAATGAAAGAACACCAACATTAACGATTTATCAGGAGCAAGGGAGAGTGAAAATGTTGCAACAGTGAGAAATTGCAACATTTGTCCGAGAAGAAGTCAGTGGGGTTAACATTCCTGAACCATCCTTCTCTACAAATTATTTATGGTTACAAGGTTTTACGGTAAGATTCAACCTCATTCATTGTAGTGATCATGTCTTCATTAGCTTTCAGGTTATTATTAAAGCAAATCTATTATGCAAAATTGACATTTCAGAGCCTTTAACCAAGTTATAGTTGTTTCTCCTTCTCATTTACCATCTTTTAGTTGTATTTGATGTGATTTGTACATGTTTGAGCAATCTTTAATTACTTATTTTCAAGACACAAGCTCCATCTTCATTGCCATTACACAGAGGTGGGACCAAGTCATTGTTTTGCAAGTCTCAAATAAGTCTCAAGTCTTTGACCTCAAGTCCGAGTCAAGTCCCAAGTCAAATACCAGCAAGTCCAAGGCGAGTCTCGAGTCACTGGCCCATAAGTCCAAGTCAAGTCCACGTCGTCTGCTTTGAGCGTCAAGTCCAAGTATTATAGCTCAGATTTTTGCAATTTATATGAATTTTAAGCTGAGTCATTCTTAAAAAGTCATGGTATATTTATATGAGTATTTATATAAGAGTTATAGAAATGCTATTTTCTCCTTTTTAAACTTCTTAATGAGATCTTAGTGTGAATTATTACAGTCAGAACAGAAAGAAAGAGATTTAAAAGTGCTTAATAATAGTTATTTTGTCATGTAGTCTGTACTGAAATGGAACGTTCTATGTAGTTCCCTCTGTTTTACTGTATTGTACTGTATATTACTGTAGTACATTTGATGATACACTCTCACAGTACTTCAGTTACATCCAAAGTGACAAACAGAGAAGTAGGAGGGACATTTTTCAGTTTGTTCCTTTAAAATTAAGCACTGCATATGTCGACTGTAAAGAGAAATGTATTTTTTTCAAGTCCCTGACTGACTTTCAAGTCCAAGTCAAGTCCCAAGTCACTGACCTTCAAGTCTAAGTTGAGTCTGAGTCCATTTTAGTCAAGTGTCATGTCCTAAAAAAAGTGACTCAAGTCTGACTCGAGTCCAAGTCATGACTTGCAAGCCCCCACCTCTGCCATTACATATACAGTCGGTACAATACAGTGAAATTCAACTTAGAATCTAATCAGAAGTGCAATGAAGTAAATACTCAAAATCACAATTTACATAAAAGAGGACTATTATGTAACAGTTTGACATGTACTGACCTACTGTTGCATTAACATATTACTGTATACATTTGTACAAAACTGCAAGATTAAAGTGTGTGTTTGCTTTAATTTCCCATTATTGTGGCAATTATTGGTCAAAATATGTTATAATAATTTTTAGTGTGTCATTAAAAGAGTTTGAAATCAAAGTCACATAATAAATCTATAATTATTTTTTAACATATACATGCATTCAAAATAAGTACAATAAAATACAAATCACTTTTTAGACTATTTGAAATTTTGAACTGAGAAAGTTTTCTTGAAATTTGCTTATGATAGGTAATCTGTTAGACTATGTTAATGAAATGTTACTAACTGAGAAATTCTATAGCAATTCTTACAGTAATCATAAAAAATAATTCAACATTGAGCAGACTAGCAAACTGTGTCGTAATTTCTATGTAACTATTTGTTGCAGTCTGAAAATTGGACTGAAAAAAGTGGAATGAGCCGGTTCGTGCGGTAAATCCAAAGCATAATCATTAATCTCCTCAAGGGAAGAGAGACACGACCTCCGGAAAGACACAGGCTCATTTTTACTGTCCACACTGTCTACTGCCAAGAGACTGAGCGCAGGGAACATTTTGTCAATTTCATTATGACTCAGGGCTTCTCCGGAGCACGAGGCAAACAGTTTAAGAGAAAAATGAGTTTGTGCTGTTTGAACGGAGCGAGGCAGAGATGACGGAGAAATAGAAATGTGCATCGACAATCAAAGAACAGCAAATCCGTGCAAATACCGCGTCAAACATCGAGTCTAACCCACCCAGCCTCAGGGAGAATGGGAGGGAAGGAAAAATGATGAATTATTGAAGGGCAGATTTTGACTGAGTATTTGAGCAAAATTTATCTTGCCCCTGTACAGATAGCACTTCATGGAAACCGTCTGAGCTCATGGCATTAGAATTCGTTCGCTCGACAGTAGGCAGGTACTTTTTCAAAATTTTATCAA